TAGCATGAAATTGTCCAATAGAAAAATCATGCAGAAACTCCATTTTAATTATATCATAGACTGACATCTAATGGGATCAGTAGGAATGACCTAGTTCAAAATACAGGTAGTTCTCAACTTACAACAGTTCATTTAGTGACCGTTCAAAGTTAGAACAGCACTGAAAAAGTGACATGACTATTTTTCACACTTATGCTCATTGCAGTATCCCCATGGTTACTTCCAGGGAAGAAATGATGGATTGAAGACCAAACTCTGGACATCTGGCAACTGACTCATATTTATGATGTGTGCAGTGTCCAGGGGTCATGTCATCAATCACTTTCTATGACCTTCTAACAAGCAAATTCAATGGGAAAACTGGATGTACTTAACAACCATATTACTAATTTAACAACTGCAGTGATTCACTTAACCACGGTGTCAAGAAAGGTTGAAAAACGGAGCCAAACTCACTAAACAAAATGTCTCACTTAGCAACAGAAATTTGGAACCAGTTGTAGTCCTAAGTCATGGACTACCTATAGTAAGGGTAGATCAATGGCTGCACATTGTGTTCTCCAAGGCTTCTTGGCAATTTCATTTTCCTCTTATTCTTATTTTAAACCTTCTGCGTTATTGCTACAGTGCTAAATTGCCAGTGAGGAATGCTGCTGCTTTGCTGCAGCCTTATAAAGGTTTTCAAGTCATAAAGAGGATGTTTCACCTCCCAAGGTGATTTTGGGGAGGCATGCTATACATGAGCAATCACTATTGTCTTTATTGCTTTTAAGCAACAGTGATTCATGCTGTACAACGGGAGAATTATTGCGAGTCCCAAACATTAGGGTGTCACCTTATGCCAATCTAAAGATTTTATTCTGGCCCACTATTGCAAAGACTTCAACATATCTGAGGGGAACAGCAGAGTGTTATTTTCCATATGTTGTAACTTTATCTAACTTTTGTAGATTTTGATTTACTATTTTAATGGAAGCAGGTTGCAATCTAAAATATTGACTATATATTTAAAATCAGTAGCAGCCAAAAATGATCATATTTCTTCAAATAATGTGCTTGTTAGGGAGAAATCCTCAGCCAATACTTTGAGAATATTTCATTGATTTGGATAGTTCCTGAAACTGAGATTCAGAACTCATACATACCCAGAGATCTCTATTCAATTTAAATGGGAAATCGCTGATAGGTATAGCATCCAAGCAGGTAAATGCTTTCCACTGAAATGAATAGAAATGTATTTCTAAAGGTGTATTGGATCTATCTGCTAAATCTGCTGCATTTAAAACTACAAAATTTAAGAGAAGACTTCCAGGGAAGAAATGGTGGATTGAAGACAAATCTATGAAAAACAGAGCTGACCACTGACTGCAGTGGAATGAAGAGTAACTGAGTAGACTGCTTTTTGATAATTCCTCTCTGGACAGGGAGAGGGCTTAAGATCACCCACAAGTGCTCCAGACAGTTCCTCCTTGTAAGGAGACTGCCAGACAGCAGTCTCCAGAAGGTTTAATGTTCTGAGAGATGAGGAATAGCCAACTTGTTCAAACTGCAATCTGTGCCTTTGAAATGACACTAGGTTCACATTTTCTAATCAATTCTGAAATTGATTGTTGATTGCTTTTCAGCTGTTAGGAAACTTGAGATTGACAAGAGTTATACCATGTTTCTCCAAGAATACGGCCTCTACCAATAGGAAGGCCCAGCATGATTTCTAGACATGAGGTGAAATTAAGCCCCACCTCCAAAATTTAGGCCTATTTAAACCATGCGTTTCCCTGCCATTTCTCACATTGTTTGTTAGAACTACACAAGGTGAAGAGAAATGGGGGGAAAGACGGGAGTGGGGTGGGGAGAAAACTTGCCTTTAGGAGTGCCCTGCAGGTAGACTAGGCTAGAATACCCCGATAGCCGATAGAAGCTCCCCGAAGGCAGAGTCCCCAGCCACTTCAGGGCGTGGCGTGGCTGCCCATGTCCCCTCGCCTTTAGGCTGTCTCTTTCAGGCTATGGAAGCTCCCCAAGTGCAGTCACCAGCCACTTCAATCGGCCGGTAGAAGCGGCCTCACATCAAGGGGAGTGTGTGTGTGTGCGCTCGCCCCGAAGTCGCTTCTACCGGTCGATCGAAGTGGCTGGTGAGTTCACTTGGGGAGCTTCCATCGCCCACAAGAGACTGCCTAAAGGTGAGAGGACATGGGCAGCCATGCCACGCCCTGAAGCGGCTGGGGACTCTGCCTTCGGGGAGCTTTTGTCGGCCGATAGAAGCGGCCTTGTGGCAAGGGGAGTGTGTGTGTGCGCTCGCCCCAAGGCCGCTTCTACCAGCCGATTGAAGTGGCTGGTGACTGCACTTGGGGAGCTTCCATCGCCTGAAAGAGACTGCCTAAAGGCGAGGGGACACGGGCAGCCATGCCAGGCCCCGAAGCAGCTGGGGACTCTGCCTTCGGGGAGCTTTCGTCGGCTGATAGAAGCGGCCTCGCGGCGAGGTATGTGCGTATGGGTTACTGTAGGTGGGGGAGGAAATTAAGTCACCCCCGAAAAGATGGCCTACCCGTTTTTTCGGGGGTCAAAAAAAAAAAAAAGGCCTGGCCTTATTTTGTGAGAAACACGGTAGTACACAGAGAGTTTCCTTCAAACCTTAGCAAAAGTAATTTTAAATACAAGCTTAAGGACTTAATGAACAGTAAAAGAGTGACTGAAACTTTTAGAAAGTCACAAACAAACTAAGATTTTGGAATTAATTATAAAGAATCCTTCTGGTGGAAAAATGCTTTTGTTTGAACTTTTTAATATATATGTGTCTGTATACAGTATGTATGCATGGCTTTAAAAATTGGACATAGAGGGAATTAAAAGCAACTACAGCACTGAACATATAAAAAAAAGTGACCAATGTCTTAATAATAAAGAAGGAATATACAAATATCAAAGAGAGTGACCTGGATAATTTTCATATATTGGATGGACAAATGAAGCTTGTTAAAAGTTCTTTAAAGAGTTTGTGAAAAGAGACAGAGAAAAAAAATGAAAAGTTCTAGGACATTATTGTAAGGGACTAATCAAGATGAAGCAAAAGGAAGAAATATAAGGTTGGTTTATTTGATCAAAGTTAATATAGGTATATTGTTATCTCTGATAACCCTTAAGGGACTTTTCTGATGAAGGCTGAATGACAAGATTTTAAGGATTTGTTCATAGATAAAGGGATGACATATGGGAAAAAGAGATCATTTGCTGTATTTTAAGAAAAGATTATAAGTTATTACAATTGTTGTGATGAAGGGATAAGTCATTTCTTTATACATTTCTTTTTCTTCGCTATGGTCTTATTTTTTATTTCTGTTTTTTCTTTTCTGCACCTCACATTTTAATTAATTTTTAATTTCTATTGATTTTTATCATTATAATTGTATTTTTTAATAAAATTACTATTAAAAAACTACAAAAAATGAAGATAGCAATAATTACTGGAGTAAAATTTTGACTCTGAACTTTACTAAATCTGAAAAACATATGCACGCATGTGTGCATGCGTGTGCACATGCACACACATATATAATCTTTGCGTGTGTGTGTACGTACATATATATATGGTAGTTTCATACAGAGGCTGCCTACTACCATTCTAAATCATTTCAGATATTTATTGAACTGGCTAAATAAATCTGTTTATACACAATAGCACAAAGATTTCATTGTCTGTTGTCTATGAGCATGTAAGTTCAGCAGCTATCTTGTGCATTGATTTATAAGGACACAGATTTTAGGAACCTTAAGGATTTCTACACTAATGTAAAATCATACCCTTTCTTTGTGAAATAGAAGTTCACATTTTTCTGTACTCTTAAATATGACTAAAGTTTAGGGTTTCTGAGATCTAACTCATTCACAACTCAGTCTTTTTTTAGGCGTTCTTTTGACCTTTACAGAATGCTAAAGTCATTAGTCTGAATGGCATGCTGCAGTATGATCATTACCAGTTTGTCAATAATCACTAACAACAGTGAATGAGGAGTACCTGCCACCACCCCACTCTATTGATCAAAGGTTTCTCGGTTGTATTTTACTGTGACACAATCTAGAGTCCAAGGAGACAAGGAGAGTGCTTTTGCTTTGCTTGTTGACAACTGTGCTAGGGATTAAAAATTTAAAGTTATGAAGAATATATGATTATACCCTATATATATAT